GGGCCGCAGAGGTGCGAGCACGCACTGCGGACAGGCGGGCCCTTAGATCGTTAGTTAATTAATTAATGGGCAGGCGGGCCCTCTTTCTGCTCTTAATTAACTCACTAGTTCGTCGGTTAGTTAATTAATTAATGGGCAGGCGGGCCTCTTCCTGCTCTTAATTAATTCACTGATTAGTTCGTCGGTTAGTTAATTAATTAATGGGCAGGCGGGCCTCTTCTTGCTCTTCATTAACTCACTAGTTCGTTGGTTAGTTAATTATTTAATGGGCAGGCGGGCCTCTTCCTGCTCTTAATTAACTCACTGATTAGTTCGTCGGTTAGTTAATTAATTAATGGGCAGGCGGACCTCTTCCTGCTCGCGAGCGGGTACGAGAACTACTGCATGGCGGCGCAGGAGGCGGCCTTCTTCGGCCTGCCGACCCTCGCGTACGACGTCGGCGAGATGCAGCCGAGATCTGGGGGAGAGATGGGGGAGAGATGGAGCCGAGCTGCAGTAGAGAGGCAGCAGAGAAGGCAGCCGAGATGCAGCCGCTTGCGAGACTCGCCCAGCCTCGGCAGTCCCCCGAGCTCGCCCGAGCTCGCCCGAGCTCCCCCGAGCTCCCCCGAGTCTCCCCCTCCTCCAGGCGAGATCGCTCTCTTCTGTGCGCCCGGAGGTAGCGTGCTCGTGCCTGTGGGCGACGAGGCCGCCCTCCGCTCCCGCCTCGCCCACCTCCTCCGGGAGCCGCGCGCACTCGCCGCGATGCAGGAGCCGCATCTCTCCCCATCTCTCCCCACATCTCCCCACATCTCCCCATATCTCCCCATATCTCCCCATATCTCCCCATATCTCCCCATATCTCCCCATATCTCCCCATATCTCGTCGCGCCGCCGCACCCTCCCTCTCCCCCGTGACAGTGGCAGCGACAGCGGTGCCTCCGCCTCTGCCGTTCATGAGGACTCTGCTCGGTCAGGACGCCGCTCACTCGTTTGCTGGCACGCTGCGCGCGCGCCTCGCCTCGCGCCCCAGCCTGCAGGCGCCGAGATCCGCCGAGATCCGCCGAGATCTGCCGAGATCTGCCGAGATGCGGCCGAGATCTGTCGAGACTTTGCCGAGATGCGGCCGAGATGCGGCCGAGAACCGCCGAGAACCGCGCCTCGCGCCCCCGGCCTTGCAAGGCGGCGACGGGCGAGTTTGCGTCGCTGCTGCGCCGCGCATCCGCCCGCGCCTCTGCCGCCGCCCGCGCCGCCGACGCCGCCGTGTCCGCCGCCCACGCTGTGCGGGTGCGAGGTCCTGTCTGTGCGGCTCTCGGTTTGCATGCCGCGCTGCTGCTGCTGCTCCCCATCCCGTCGGAGGCGAGGGCTTAGCAACAACAACGAGATCATTGTTCGTATGGACCCCGTTAGTGCGCCCCCTCCCCTGCCCCCCTCCCCCCCCCCCCC